TTGATAAAGAAACCACTGTTACACAGGGATGCCCTGTAACCTGTGACTTATATAAGACACAACATAGACTGCTTGTCCACATCAGTCCCTTTTACATACCATCTAGCCGGTAGATGTATGTGGTTTGGTAATTAGTACAGATGTTAGGAATATAATTATTAAACTATAAAAATTATCTATTGGGTATTAGATAAATGTGAGCAATAAATTAATTGATTCATTCATTACTTCCTTGGGTAGGAGAAGCTACAGGATATACATATAAGAAGTAGTTGAGGGTTCTCCCAGGAAGACTTTTTGCTAGATGATGTTTGTGAGCAGGCCACAGGGATTGTTGGTTGCCAGGGGCCCAAGCTTAAAAGGGGCATTTATTTAGTTTGTTGTTTTCTTCGGTCTGGGCCAAGCTGATCCTCACTGTGAATACGCTACACTGAAACACTGCTTAACAAAATAAAAGGGAAATAAAGAAATTTGGACTGACTGAACAGTTTAAAGGTCCTTTACTTCCAACCAACCTTATACACTCACTGGTTTGTGTGTTCCACCATCTAACGGCACTGCCATTATTGCAGTGGCAAGTCATAGTGACTCTGTGACAGCAGCATGGGTAGTTGGATTGACGATGTTAGACAGTGGCTTCAAGTTACTGATGAAGGTACTTTACATGGATGGTAATCTTAGTGTTATCTAAACTGTACATTACTTGTGTAAAAGTACTTAATTACATTCCATGACTGATCCTCCACATACATTTTATAATGGAGTAGCAGCAGCTGAAAATGTAACTTCTTGAAGTTCTTAACTTCCTGCAGTGATGTTGGAGTGTGGTCATGAGGTGGCCAGTACACAATGACATCACTGTTGTGTGTAGTCAGCGTTATAACAGATTTGAAACTTTGAAAAACTGGTAAGAGAAACAATGATTTGCAGCTGGGTATCAAGTTATAGTTTGTAAAATGATTGTGTTGGGAGCATAGACTATATAATTAAAAATGGACATAGTCACCCATAGGTTTTTAAAGAGCCATTGTGAAGCTGCCATCTTGGCAGTATTGAGTCCAGTAACCTTATCTAAGTATGACAATATTCAGTTGATAACCTTTGGATTACCTCAACACCGAATATGCAAATAAAGAGAAATGAAATGTGAATAGGAAGTGTTTATGTACTCTATAAGACAACAGAAAAATTTAACCTTTGAAAAGAAAATGGAAACCTAGATTTTTAGCATCAAAAATGTGTCCTCTGCTCAGTGTATTTAAAAAAAAAAAAAACATTAAAAAAAAAAAAAAACTTTTTTAATCCCTTAAAAAATTTTAAGGAATTAAAATTGCCCTTTTCTAATTCTGATTTTGTACCCTGATTACATAACTCAGTTACATGTAATCTGTTACTGCTCAAGCCTTCTAGTAATATAATTAATTGTGTTTTTTAATTGAATAAGCGGACAACTGTGTACATTGATAAAGAGTAACTAATTCCTTTTATATGCAGTAATTGGTAAAGTAATTCAATTCATTTTGAGAGAAGTAACTAGTAGCTGTAACAAATGATGTTTTTTAAGTAATTTGCCCAACACTGGAAATTACACATAGCAGCAAAAAACAGTTTAAACTCTTCTTTCTTTTGTGCCTTCACTGACCCTTCTATTGCACCACTGACACAGAAAAAGAACATTAAACTGTGAGTTTATAACAGATGTAGTCCTCACAGAAAGGCTCATCAAACACTAGTACTATGGTGATGTGTGCATCAAGCAGAAGGAGGCTGAGCTTCGTAAGCCCAGCTCATCAGTCTTAAAGCAGATAATTCCTTCACCAACATCTGTCCTCTGGATGCACGGCTCTGTCCTGTGCTTCATCGCCCTCCTCTCCATCTCACCCTGATCACAACCCCAGAAGGTTTGTCAGTGGGTAGACTCAATACAAAGCTCTTCTGCTTTCATCTGCCATGAATAGTGAAAGGCTGCCCTCTAGCAGAAAAAAAAAGGAAGAAAAACAACAAGGTGTGGGGGCATGTTTACCTCTGATATAACTCAGCAGTCACACTGATTGCACACTACTACCAGTCTTTTCTCGCTGTATCCGCATAACTTAATAAGGAAATGGTCCCAATCAGTCAATCAGTGCCAATCAGTCAATGGTCGGAGCCCTGCTGTGGGTTCCTTTGCCCAAAGACGAACGAAGTAGAAAGTTAGTGAAACTCTTGAGCTTGACTGAGCCAGCCTCAGTGGCTGTTAGAGGAACTGCAGTTTTTGTTACTTCGGTATTGGCTTCATTTGCCAGACTTTGCAACTTGAGGAGTGAATGAGGGAGTGATGACAATCATGATCTTACTCAAAATTTAATTTAAAATCCATGTTGGTTTAATTTACACAGCCATTCTGAGGACTTTATAGCCATGTTTAGTACCTCAGCACAGACAACCCTGTACAAGGTTAACCTATTGCACTGATCCAGGGAGTGTACAGTGACAATGCAAGGTGCAACAGTACAAGGAGATGTTTTGAACTGCAAAGTTCATTATTGCAAGACTGACATCAGCCATCTACATTACTTTTAGAGCTTCCCATCTGTACCCATCTTGCAGTAATGAAGAGCCAACCTGAAGCAGGCTGAAACATCTAATTTTGTCTGCTGACTCCATGGAATTATAAACTTCGGGGAGTGAGTGTGTGTCCATCTATGAGTGAACATGCAGGCATGCAGGGGGGGTCACTACTGTATGCAGATTGAAGGAGGCTGAGTCAGCAACTGCTCCTCTTTTGTTTCATTCCAGGACACACATAAAATATTGTTTTATTACTATCTGTGGGGACCCATGATTATAATGCATTCCCTAACCTCTTAACCTAACCTTAACCACCACAACTTAGTGCCTAAATCTAACCCTTACCCTAACCTTAAGCCAATTCTAACCCTAACCAAAAACCAAGTCTTAACCATCAAAGAGGCCTTTAACTGGTGGGGTCTCCACAAAGTTGTCGGACCCTACTCCAAGTGTAGTGGGCTTTTGAGGAAGAGGCTGCTGTGTAAGATGGACCTAAAAACAGTAAACGTGTGGTCATTCTTTGTTTTCAGCTTGAACTTGAAATCATAAATAATAATTAATCTATTATTAATATTATTATTATTTCCCAATATTGTAGTTTACATATATTTGATTTTTTTAGTATCTTATTAAGACAGGGAAATATTGGTGAGAACAATGTTTCAAAGTCAGCTTTGATCCAGGATGACCTCATTTGGGATTAATTAATTTATAATTTTATTAAAGTATACATAAAGGCCTGAAAAGATAAATGTTTGACTTTTTGAATATTCAGTGACACAGTCCCAGTTTGATGTTACTCCATATTCAGTCCATAGTGAGTGAGCATCATCCTGAACATCAGCCAAAACCTAAGGATAGCCAGCCAGCTGCAACCCAGCCACACTGAATAACGTTATCGCCAGCCAACTGAGTTGTTGTTGAGTCATTTTTATATTCAAAAGTTTGTATGTATTTGTAAGAGTAAACTTTACTGTTGCTGCTCAAGAAACAATATTTAGTTATATTTATGATATAAATACTTTTTTTTATATTGACTTTTGCATTAATATTTGGTCTGTTAAATTAATGGAATTGTGTTGATTTAACTTGACAATAAAATGAATAATTATACTGTAATAAAGAATTACAAGGTTAAACATTCTCTCGAGGAAGTTGCAAAGATGGGATTGCAACAATTCAGCCAATCCCTGGGGATTCTGCGGACCATGCAATTTTATCCAATAACTGCAACTTTTCTGCAAATGTAACCAATCATTGTAGTTTCCTGCACAAAACGTTAAGCCATACATCACCAAACTAATTTCTTTGTGTCTGTGAAGATGCAGACCTGTGCAATGCGAACGTCTCACAGGTACCCTCATTTATATTTTATTCTTACTGGAACAAATTGCCTTCAATTTTGTAATGAATTATACAAATAATAATAATAATAATAATAATAATAATAATAATGTAATTTTCATTTTCTCCCATAATTTCTTTACCTCAAATTATCCCAACAGCATCACACATTATTTTTTTTTTGAAAAGCTGCAATTAAATCAGGCATTTTAGGCTGCAACAATTCAAAAATGCCTGCCAAATCCCGAGGGGGCTGTTTTTTGAGTGTGAACTGCAGTGTTATTACAGGTTTTTTAAGACAGAGTTAAGGAGATAAATACTAAAACCACCTCCATGAGCACTGCGCCTAGAAAAAAACTTAAAAACTCTAAATAATAAACTGAGATAAAACTGTGTAAAACAAAGGTATTATTATCCAAGGATCATGATCTCTGTCAGCCTGGAACACAGAACAAAAAAATCCCCCAAAACAAAGAACTAAACTCATTATTTGCTATATGCTAAAAAAGTACAGGACAAACTAAGCTGGGTGTTGGCTGAGAGAGTAAGAAGCACTTTGTTCCTCACATGGGTGTCAGGCTGCTGAGCTGCAGTTAGATGTTGTTGCTATTTAATTACTGTTTCCTTTTCTTCATTTGTTGAGATTAACAGTATCACAGACAAATAGGTCTTTTTCAAAAGGTTATAAAAAATGGTCACAAAAAAAACCCCTAACCCTTACAAGGAGGTGCTGAATTCAAATAAATGTTTTTTATCACTGAGGCGAGCACAGTAGGAAGAGGCATTCAACATTGGCTGTCCTGAAGTGACCCATAACTGTTTCCAGCACTGATGCGTCATGCCTTAAGTCTGTTATGACCAGTTTTGGGCTAGTTACTTCTTTCAAAATAATAATGATTAATTAATTGCTTTACTTACTCCCTGCCAACAGTAATTACTTACATTACTAGTTCAAACTATAGCAGTTTTTTTCTGCAGCCTGTGAATACATAAAAGTTACAGGTTAGAAAAGCCCATCTTCCAAGTTAGTTTCCTGTGAGGATGTGATTGAACTGTTGGATTTCAAAAATCAAATCAGTAGGGGGGGGTGAATAACGAAAGTAAGGTTGTAACCAATTCTTGTTTATTTTTTATTTTAAAAAGAATTCTGTAATATTATTACTGATAATGCCTTACTGGCCAACACTGGTTATGACCTACTTACAACTTCTATAGTACAGGCCTTGGTGACAATGTAGATGAACAATACCATGAATTATTACATAAAACTCACTACTGGTACTCAAGATAAAAGGTAAAAGAATGTTTTGTCATTCTCTCTTTATAAAGGATTTGTCTACAGAGGAACAAAACAGCATTCCCAACCCTATCCCCAGGAATGGTACCAGGCCTAACAGGCTTTACCAATAAAGAAGCATTAAGTTATAATCACTGATTCTTGAGACCTGGGATAAAACGCGTCCACAAGTTGTATGTAAGTGTAAGCAAATTGCTTCATCTACACATTTTGTTGTTTTGCAACATTGTATTCAGAAAAGTATACTGTAGTTATTACAGTTTGTTTGTATTCTTATAGTTATGATTGAAAGAAAATCAACATTCAGAGTTTTAAAAGTGACTTTGTTACCCTAGCAGATGCACTGCAGACTGTTCTGATATTTGTTCAGATGAAATACACACTTGTTAAGCCAATGTGAATAAAATGTTTATAAACAACATAGTCATTGTTTGTTTTAATGTTTTAAACGACATGTATTTGATTGGTTTCATTTAGTTGAGAGCTTAAGTATAGCTAAAACAACTACAAATTTAAGTTTTCGTCACCACTATCAGATATGGGTCAACTCCATCAGGTCTATGTCACCTCCCACTTCTCAAGAATCAGTGTAATGTTAACAACACACAGCCTCCATGGGGCCCTAAGCAAAATTTGATTTTGGGGCCCTCTATTACTGCCATGTGTCTTTTTGGGAATGTGAATGTGTCCTTTATAGGCAGCGGCCCTCTTAATACCTGTTCAGTCCTTTCTGAGTCTGACAGGAAACAGGGACACTCAGCTGGGTCAACTGGCGGAGCTGCTGATCCCTGCTCCAAACTGGATGCTGAAGAAGACACATCAATCTCGATGACCAAAGATGAAGGACCTATTGGGAAATTAAAATAATATTTTTGGACAAAATTATTCATCTCAGAATATTCTGCAGTACACTGAGCAATTATAAAGGCTGTTTTGTTGTTAATTTACCAGGTACAGCTGAGGTTGTATGAGACACAGAAGGGACAGTGGGCACAGTGGATGGAGCAGAGGATAGAGATGGACCTAAGATGAAAAACAACAAAAACAAAAGCTAGTCATGTTATAGTCATATTACACTTGAAAATGATGCAGCTTATTTTCTAAATAAAAAGTACAGCTATAGCTTGTAATAAGAAAACAAACTGCCAGTGGAACAACTGAAAATTGCTTGAGAAGTTTTGAAATAATATGGATTTGTCTAAAATCATGTCCCTTGTCGTATGATTATATCTTCTATCTTATATTAAAAAAATATTCATCTCAGTATGTTCTGCAGTGCACTGAGCAATTAAAGGCTGTTTTATTGTTAACTTACCAGGTACAGCTGAGGTTACAGAGAGGACAGTGGGCACAGTGGATGGAGCAGAGGATAGAGATGGACCTGAGATGAAAAACATGTCCCTTGTCATATGATTATATCTTATATTAGTATATCTTAATGAGATCATTTGACTAGAAATTAAATATATATGGTGACAGTTTTTGATCACCTGATTCATCAGCCTTGGCTGCTCCTGAGGAGGTGGGTTGCCCCTGGGCTGAGTCAGTGCCTCCTCCAAAATAAAAAGGGGGGTTTGGACAAGAATGTGCATTTGATAATATATGAATCATCATCACTCACGCATGGAAAAAAAAAATGTATTACTTTAATTAAGTTAATTGTTCTTGGGGGCCCCTTAGTGGTCAGGGGGGCCTAAGCAGCTGCTTAGTTCGCTTATGCCTTGGGCCGGCCCTGACAACACAAATTAAAGTTCTTCTCTATTCAGGTCAAACAGGGTCATGGATGGTGCTGCTGTGCATCTTGTCTCAAATGGAACTGAATAATTTTGTATTTTACTTCTTTCTGTGACCAGTGGACAAATCAGTAACAATAAGACAGTACTAGCAATACTATTACATTAATAAGTAAAGTAATAATATTCATTATGAAAAGAGTAATGAGTAATAAATAACATTTATTGAGTAACCAACCCAACATTGATCAGTAATAGCAGTGCATAATATTGAAAGTTTTGAATTAATGACCACTGTGATATTTTTCGCGGATTTTTGGTGGCCGGTCCCAGCCCGCGGGCCATATGTTTGACACCCCTCAGTGAGTCAACATACTGTAGTCTAGAATTTCTATGGGTTCTGAAAAATGTATTACCATGTAGAAAACACAGCAAAACATAACGTTACAGTGAAGGAAGAGGTAAATAAATTGACAAAAGAGTGAGAAATAGTGGAAACATTGAGTAAGACAAAGTAATGCAGTGGGAGAGGAAAAGGTGAGAAATAAACGAAAGGATACAAAGAGTGGAAAACAGAGCCGCCTTATAGTGTGAGAGTGCGAGCAGAGGACAAGTACAGTGAGAGACAGAGCTGAGAGGAAGAGAGGTAGAAGGTGAATGTAGTCTATTCTGTTCTGCCGCAGCTACCAGTCGGAGGGGGTGGGGGGTATTGCCGTTGATCCCGAAGCTGACGCGGGACGCTTCTGGTCTCGAGCACCGCGGATTTACTCCACCTTGCACGCGCACGATGATGGAAATGAATATGGAATGATAACGACCGACAGTGCAAGATGGGCAGGCGTTAAGATCAGCTTTAACTTCCCCCGGTGGCGGCTCAGCTTCGAAATGGTAGGACTAAACCTGTTCCGGTACAATAGTCTAATGTAGTGGAGTGTCTCTTCCTATTGGTGTGCTGTTCCGTGTTTTCCAAAAAAGACGCAATGCGAGGAGTTGAATGAGTAGCAGCTACGCAGCACAAAGTGGAGCAGTAAGCGGCGATAGTTCATCCATTTATCTGAATGTCAGCAAGCCTCTCTCCACTGTTTCTCACCGGCTGTTAGTTTGTGGCAGCGTTAGAGCATTATAGGCTGGATATGTGACGTTGACTTGTGGACAGATTTTGTCTCTAAATTCCCTTAAAAAATCTGGGAAATAAAATATCGACTGCGCGCCGGCGAATGTACACACCTGACACAACACAACTTGAAACAGTGCTGAATTGTCAGGATCCACCCTTAAATTCGGCACACACACGACACGCAAAACACCACATACTTTAATAAAATCTTAACTTTTAGAATCGGTGTTGCCGTTCTTCCAATTGGCGTCTTCCGTCCAAACACAGCGTGCAGGGAGGAAGCCAGCAGTGTAAGATAATTACCGAACTTGATATTTTGTTGACAGAAGGCTCTTTTTGAGTGTTACATAGTCGCCGAATTTGCCAAAAGACCACCAAACAAGATAATAATGTATTTATCGCATGAGACTATACGTATGTGTGACATTAAACTAGTAAACCTTAAAGTCTTACAGTTTTTGAATGAAGTTTGGTGCCTCGGTCCCGCATAACGGGATGTACTGGCGTTATACAGGCTTTATCCCACTGGCAAATGTGGTCTCCGACCCCTGGCGTAAGCGGACAGCATGCCTTGGTGTGTGTGTATCATCGCATGCAGTTGCGGGTGAAAGTTGTTTAGTTTGGGGCTTTGGAAGCAGCGGCAGGCCCCGGCTGCCCCCGGTCTGTTCGTCACAAAGCGACGGCGGAAGGCCAAGTTGAAGTTCACCTCAAGCCTGCTTCTCTCGGTTTGTGTGTGTGTGTGTGTGTGTGTGTGTGTGTGTGTGTGTGTTAGTCAGCAGAAAATGGCCGCAGTTAGAGCCAGCGGGCTGAGTTAGTATGACAGGCCGACAGAGGGCCTCCTGTCCCGGTATACAGCTGGGGTAGAGAGCCGTTAGGATAAACACAGAGCACAGCTGCAGCTGGTGAAGCCAGTGCTCATGTACCCGCAGTCTCGCTGGAAACACTCACTGCTAGTTTCCAGTTGGGAAGTGAGACACTTGACAACAGCTCAGATGGCTCTTTAGAGAAGAAATAAGTAAAAAGTTGCCCCTCCATCACCATCAGCTCCATTATGATAGGAGCTTGACACAGATTGAATTTAAGAAATGTTTAAATTGATTGCTGTGTGTAAATTCTCACACACAACACACTTGCAATGCCCACAAGGCTTAAATAAAAGTAGGCTGCTCTACATGTCTAGAGCTAACAGTTTTTGATTATTTGTTTATTATATAGTTAGGATCATATAAGACTAATTTAAAGCAAAAAATAAAATTGCCTTAATGATGACAGTAGCCTAAGAGTAGCCCAGTGAGTTCAAAGACTGATCATGATATCAATATAGATGTGAAATGATGTGGCAACACCTTATACCCATATTGCCAAAACTTATTGTCCGACCATTTAAATTTCTTTTAGAGATGAAATATTTTCTAATTGGTTTATTTGAAAAACTGCATATGCCTAAAACAGTATAAACACCCACACAGCCTGCCATAAAAAGCCAGTGGTAGGGTTATATCTAACGGTCCGTTAATGGGAACTATAGAGAAAGAGTTCTGAGCAGAACAATGTGCCTGTTACACAGCTATATTATTTGATAGTGCTAGTCAATGTAGGCCTACAGGATGAATTACGATTTTAGTGTTTCAATTGTTCAAGGTGGGGGCTCATTTTAAATATTTTGACATAAAGCCCAATGTATTACAATGCATCATAGTTTATAACCTGATCTTATTTATTCATACGTACAATTTTAATTTGTTAAGTAGCCCAACTTGTAACTGTAAAAATGATTCCCTCTGAAGTGTAGTGAAGTTGCCTAAAATGGAAACCCTCAAGTAAAGTAGGCTACAGGAGAAGTACCTTAAATGTGTATTTAGATAGATACAGTATTCGAGTAAATGTACTTTACTTACTTTTTAAGCACATCATAACCCTCCACTGTATGAACAACACTGTGGGAATAACGGCCAAAATCTGTTTTAAGGTGGAAATGATGTGCTGCTTTGTGTTTGGGATGAACACAGAATATGCTCTGTGGATACTCTCTGTGTTTACTGCTGCTATGTTCGAACACAAGATGTTTTTCAAGACTGTATGAAGGCACCAGCGGACGGCAGTGAAGTAGTGAATGTAAAGCTAGTCCTGAGGTGAACTGTGCTGTGCTATAAGGCCAGTTTTTGAGGCAGAACAGAACAGCTGCTGCGGCTTTAAGCCCGTCGTTTGGGATGGGCTGAATTCATAACGTCATTTCACTTCTCTTTCTTTTATTCTTCGCCCCCTCATCTCCTTCCCTCTCTAAATGACACAGTCCCCCGTGCTCCCTCAAACCTCCGGCCATATTTTCCCAAGAATGATTATTCCGAACTTTCTCTGTGTTTTTCTCCCTGTGGGGCATTTTTCCGGGGCCTCAACTTTTCTGGCGTGTCATCATTTCTGGAGTTAACGCGGCAGAGTCATCCGAGGCGACCGAGGCTCTCTCATATCTGGATTCTTAAAAAAAGCCCAGTTAAACACCCCAGGAAATGCAGCGTTTTCTCTAACCCGGAGGTACCGCTGCTCAGCTCAGTCAGCGGGGAACAGCGTGTAGAAATGTGCACAGACAAATGACGATGCTGTGGAAATGAAAGATTTCAGCCTAGGGATGTTTGTGTTAACGCTCAGCCTGCCCTGATTCACATTCTGCTCATCAAAATGATGTTTTCTCCTCTCTCTCTGTCTCAGGTAAAACTGCACTATGCTTCTCTGTGTCTCCTCACAACTGTTGTTACACTGTTAGATAGCCTACCCTAAATGGAAATAGAGCTGCACGATATGGTATAAAAATCCTACTGCCATTATTTTGATACTGGGACTGCGGTATTACTCACTATTAGTGGGAAAGTTTCGGCGACCTAAAAAACACTGATGTGACATTTGTTAGGGTCTGTACCAAACAAAAATTATAATATAATATAATTAAAATGTTTTCTTGCAGATGTTCACAAGATTTGTAGTCCAGGAAATCTCTGCAGCACTACAGTACTTCATTATAAGGCTGTTTTGACACATTTTACCTTTATCTTACGATTTGCATATTGCACCTGGCCATATTGCCATGTCGATAATATTATAATTAATTGTGCAGCCCTACATGGAAATGAAGCTATCATGTAGTTACCTAATTATCCACTGAGTTAATTTAATAATGAAGCATGTATGAATTGTAATAATAATTGTAATAATTAATGAAAAATGTCTTAATTTAAACCATTTTACTAGCTGTTGTCAGTGTGTGGAGTGGGTCGGGCAGATATGAATCATAGATTAATATCAGGAGCAGGTACAGAGTGAAGGGGTGGAGAGCTGAATCACAAAGACTGCACCAGGCCTGTTGAACAGGGACTTGAATTTACATGTGGTTATTAGCTTGAACATGCAGAAAGGAGTGTTTGAAAGACTGCAGTATGTTAGTTAGCTTGTCTACTTATCGTATGCTTTGTGTGTGTGTATCTGTGCTTTATTTTCTGTCTGCAGGAGTTGACTGAAAACCTCTGATAGCTGCAGAGTTTTTCCATCTTACCCCATTTCTCTGTATAGGCTGTATGTAACAGTAATTATATGTAACCTTACTTTTGTTGTCACCCCATACTCATTTGAAATCCAACAATCCAATCACATCTTTCGATTTATTTTTGTAATCATGGATGAAACTAACTTGGAAGATGGCAACACTTTCATTCAGCAGCTGGAAATATTCCCCTTACTTTGATTTAGGAAAACAAAACTGGATTTTAATTGTCAGAAGTCTACTTTTGGGGAGAAAGGACACAATTTTGTGTGGGAGTAGCAGAAAAGTAATGGTAATATAGTAAAAGAAACTAAAGAGTGACGAGTAATGATTAATAAATTACATTCCTGAGTACATGGAGTTTTAGTACTGCAACTATTGCTATTTTTACTCTTGAATTAGTTTTTCAGTGCTACAAGTATTCAGTTCTACTATAACTGATATTTATTTTGCTGCAAAGTCTATTACTACTGTTGCTACAAGAGCTACAAGATATTTTGGTCTGCCTATTTTGACCTATTGCAGATATATTGGTATCGATATTGGTATATGTTATCTGATATGAAAACGTTTTTTTTTCAGGGTTACAATGCATAAAAACTTTCGTGGTAATATATTGATGTAAGTAGTGTTTAACCAGCACAGTGCACTGTGATTTAGAACACTGTGTCAAGCAGCACAGCGTAAGAGAGAAGAGACAGATCTCAGCAGTGTTAACTACAATTTGTTGACAATATACATGTTCAATTATTGAACATGTTAAAGAATGTTAAACTTAAATATTCTTTAATAAAGTTATTTGTTTAAGAAAGCTGTCTTCTGAGTACCCTTTAAGAGTCATATTGGAGCAAAATCTACAAAGAAAAGGTTAGTTTCATTCTAGCTCAAAAAATCTACTACTACTACTACTACTAAATTCTACTCAGAATTCCCAGGTTCTGTGAATGTCAGTTGGGTTTGGCAATATAATTAAATACAGATTTGTTAAGGGACTTCAGTTTAGGTAAGTGTGCAGTAGTGTGGAGTGGCGTCACAGTATAGTGGAGGCGGGGTCAGTGGTGGGGAGTATGGGAAGAAAAACTGTTCAGTCAATGGAGGATGGGGTGGAGTGGGAGTTCAGTCAGGAAGGGGGTATCCTCAATGCAGAGTTTAGCAGGGTGACAGTGGTGTACTCAAGCAACATTATCAAAACCATGAGTAGAGTTTCATGACACAAGATAAAGCATAGCATAGCATCAGCAATATTGGCGAGGTGAGGTGCCCAAAGGATATTAAAAGACAGCAACCACCCGCAACACACAAGGGAGGGAGAAACACAAGAAAAAGACAAGGAAAAGGCAAGGATACAGCCATGGCCATGACGCGCAGATGCTAAGCGATGCACTTAGTTTAAAATTTATTTTAGCCACCGGAAAAAAGGCCCACATAAATCAGTAACTGTTGAAAGGTTCTATAACTTTCAGAAAACTGTTGATAGTGACACCACAGGCCTTTAAATGAACTGCAGTTAGCATCATGTTGTTCGCACAGTCTGTAGGCACACACGACCATAATCCTGGGCATCGGCCAACAGTGACAAAAACTAAACTTAATGCTGGAAAATACATTACAATCACATTTAGAATAACATTACTTTCCACAACAATAGTATATGTGACAGTAGCACATAATGTCAGCTGTTCTTAACTTGACTCCATTGTTGTTTTAACCGTCAGAACAGAACAGCCAGCGTTTAACCACGTCCAAAGCTTGTGACGTAGCTGCCAGTAGTTCTTCAAGGACGATGATTGGTCCATTACCACTGTGGTTTGGACACAAGCTCGCAGCTTGAATCCTGGCAAGATGGATCCTCGCTGTTCTGGCACTGCTGGAGAACCTTGCAGATGTCACACAGTTGGTGAAATTAAACTTTTCTCTCATTGTCAGGTCTGATGAGTAAAAGGGAAGTATCTACGTGCATTTACGACTTGCAATGAAGTGGAAATGGGGCTCCTGCAGGTGCGCCCAGTTCCACAATGATGGTTTATAACAGAGCCAGGCAAATGGCCCGTTTTCTGTTTTTGTGTGTTTTAGTTGTGAATCCACGCAGAGATCTATACATCTGGCAACTGTTATTGTCCATTTCTCTTGTGCAGGGTCATTGCTGTCTTATAGCTGTAGTGTTCCCCACAGCTGTTGTGTGATGTCATTATGATGTCATACACCACTCTAGTTTCTCTATGTTTTGGCTAGTATTTTGTGGTGATGAATGGAGAGCTCCTGTGAAGTGCACTTTATACACATGTTGTAGCTGTCACTGTAATAGTTTTCATCAATCTTGGTTGACTAAAATTATTCTACCAACTCTACTCTACGTAGTCTAACCAATTGATTTGTCAATGGAAAAAAAAAGTTTCTAAGTTAGCTAACTCTACCATGAGGGTACTCTACCTGCTAGCTGCTGGGTGCTTATCAAAGTTACACATCATTGTCAAGAAAAGGCATTCCTGCATTTTTTTCCACACCATTTCTTTTTCACACCTAGCTATATCGTTACCTACAGGACATATCAAGTATATTTACATACAGCAGCAACACACAGATATGCGCACCACACACACCGGCAAGGATCATTGAGCAAGCAAGCTGCAGCTCCACAAAAAGCAACATGGAAAAAAGTTTAGTTTAGTTGGCTTCAAATTACACTTAACATTCACACAGTTTCTCTCGACTGTCCTTCAATATTACAAAATGAGTCCAACATCCCCCAGCTTGACGCAGTAACCACTTAGCAGCACACTAAAGCAAAGTTCAGCAGGCTAAGCAACACAATTAACAACAACATAAAACTTAAACCTTCGTTACTAGCCCGTTATTAGCCCGTTACCCAATAGCAGTCCATAGTAAAATGCTCACATTTTTTTCTTACAATATAACACACATCAACATACATCAGCTCTGCATATGTCCCTTACGCCTTTCATCACACATTTAAATCACCATTACCTGTTCCACTCAGTGTTTGATGGTCATATCATATCATTCAGTATTATTTTGAGGCAAATTAAAGAGAAACATAGACTGTGTAATTAAAAAATGGCTGTAGTGGGGCTGCCGCCCATGTACCAAGGTTGAGTCCTTGCTACAGTGGCTCAGGGTTTGAATCCGACCTGTGGCCCTTTCTCTCTACCTACTTTCCTGTCAGTCTTCAGCTGTCACTGTCAATTACAGGCGCTTAAACCCCCAAAAACTACTAAAAGTAAATAAATAGCTATTGTCTCTGTGACGCTACAACTTAAAAGACGATGTGCATGATGCACTACTCATGGCAGCCAGAAAGCTAATGTACGGAAACCATGGTGATGAAACAATGGCTTTCATTGGCCACTTGCCTTAATTATGAAGTTATGGCCAAACTAGTTAGGTTGAGTCCCAAGTAATGGTGATGCAACCAATATTAGTAGCTGATTTAGTTACAAACTCAGTGGTAGTTACCAAGCTTCTAGTGGTAATTTTACACCATAACATAGGAGAGAACTTACACATAGCTGAAATTATATTTTGATTTAGTCATATACAATGTAGTTGTTCTCACTGACAAAGCCTTCTTTTTCTATTGTCTGACCAGCAATATAGTAAGGATTTTATCACAGCTTAAGAACACTACCTGTTAACCAAGAGAAAAACTAATTTCTGCACTGCTGTGCTGAGACAAAAAAAATAATTTAATTTTACATTTGCAAAGTCATTGGTCACATAGACATTTATTACATCTTTGCATGTTTGCAAAAAGTGACCACAGATAGAAGTGGAGGCAAAAGATAATTGGCTTCATCTTAAGGGATATTTTCTTACTGTCAACAAATCCTATGAAAAGACCAAAACCAAGAATGTGTTACCTTCTGACTTCCCTACCCTGTCTGTGGCTCTCATTTTCAAACTCAGCCTATTATGAAATCTTTAAAAAGGCAAAACAAATATACAGTTTCACTCAAACACAAGAAAATAGTGCATTTGAGGATTATTGACCCCAAGCTGCAGCAAGCTGGCAAAGAGTAGATGGAGCACTGGGGTAGATATACTGTTGGGTAGATGAGTTGATTGAAGGAAGGTGACCAAAAAACATGAACATCCCTATCAGGTGTCAGTGTTTGGTTTGTCTGTTCTGCATTATTGTAGAAACATGGCTCCAGGGAAGGCAACCCATGGTGTCTGTAGATATAAACGGCTCATTCTTAGGTGACCAAAACACAAGAATTATTATTTTCAGGTGACAATGAATACATATTTATGCATATTTATGCATAGAGCGAGTAGTCCAGGTTCGATCCCCGGCTCCTCTCGCTGCATGATGAAGTGTCCTTGAGCAAGACACTGATTGCTCCCGGTGTTGTGCCTCGGTGTATGAGTGTGTGTGAATAATTAGTTTCCATTCTGGTGAACAGTTGGCACCTTGCATGGCAGCCACTGCCATCAGTGTATGAATGGGGTAAGTGTGGCATGTAGTGTACAGCGCATTGAGTGGTTAAAAGACTAGAAAGGCGCTATATAAGTATTGTCCATTTACCATATTGAGTTTCTGCCAGTACACACTGAACCTTTGACAAGGAGCCAGTGAAGTTGCTGAAGAACAGGAAAGGAGGGAGTTCTGGTGATAGTATGGGCTGCTGAGTTCTGGACAACAGCAGAACAAAAGACAAACCTAACAACAATAAAAAGATCCAGAGAGCAGCAGCAGCAAAAGTTTAATTCAGCTTCTGTGTAGGTAACCTGAGTAGAAACAGAAATGTAAAAAGAATAGACTTGAAGACTCTGCCTCTAATTGGCTCTGACCCTGACATTTTTTTCTTACCCTAACCATCTCGCTCCTCATGCCTGAACCTAACCAATCCAACCACCAAAGGCAACAAACACTAGACATTCAGTGGCAGAATGGGGCTGGTCTTTGTGGAATGCTGGTGGGGGGGAAAAAAGCGTCACACAGGTGTTTAGGGGTACATAGCTAGAGTCACCAGGAGCTGCTGGTACGCAGTAAGAAGTAAGGGTACTCATGTGGACATGTACCTGTAAGTACTGGCCCCTTTCAGGCAATGCTTTGCTGTTATATGCGCAAAGAGTGAGTGAAACATGTAATGATTTCCACTGAAGTGTATCTGCACTGTCAGATGGATGACTAAAAGCTGAAATATGTCTGGTGTAAACAGCATGTTACTGTACTTTATTTATTGCCTCTTCTCTCCCTTTCGCCTATAATATCAGATCAGACGTCAGGGTACAGTATCTACGTCCTGTCCAGATGGGTAGAAATTGTTTGTCATAGTTCTGTCAAAGGTGGTGATGTAGTAGTCAAATCAGAACAGTGTAGGCAGGGTATACATAATGCATTCATAAATCCAGTAGTGTGAAAGATTCCATGAGGACCAGGACAGAAAACACAGCTCTGCTGTGTTGTTTCCTCATTATGCTGGTATATTGCTGTGAAAATAAAGCCCTTATCCTATCTAAGGAAGCTGTGGTTAAAGTTGTTTGGTTACTGATACCTGTGTGTGTACTGCATGTGTTCGGAAAGACATTTGTGAAGAAGACATGCGGCTGTGGCTAAGAGGTAGAGCGGGTCGTCCACTAATTGGAAGGTTGGCCATTCGATCCCCAGCTCCTCTTATTGCATGTCGAAGTTGAAGTCCTTGAGCAAGACACTGAACCCCAAATTGCTGTGAGTGTGTATGAATGATTAGTTTCTCTTCTGTTGAGCATGGCAGCCACTTCCATCAGTGTATGTGTGAATGTGTGTGAATGGGGTGAGTGTGGCATGTAGTGTACAGTGCACTGAGTGGGCAAAAGACTAGAAAGGCACTATATAAGTAGTCCATGTACCATTTACCAGAGAGGATGGAATTGCAATAGTTGACATGGGTATATATAACCACGGTTCCACTGGGTGGAGTGATAGAGCTGTGTCATCTGCATAACTGCTAAAATAAAGCAGATATGGACAAGAGTTTATCTGTCTTTCTGTCATGTAGGATGAGTTCCATCCGTTCATTGAGGCTCTGCTGCCCCAGGTCCGTGCCTTCGCCTACACCTGGTTCAACCTGCAGGCCAGGAAAAGGAAGTACTTCAAAAAACATGAGAAAAGGATGACTAAGGAGGAAGAGAGAGCTGTCAAAGATGAACTGCTGGGGGAGAAGGCAGAGGTAGGACGCATACAATGAATGGTGGAGAGTAGAAATACATTTTTATTTTGTTTTACAAATCAAGTAGCTAAAATTTACTTATGATAATTATGGACATTTTATTAGTTGTCAAACCATTGTTTTATAGCATTTTAATATACTTAATATACACACTCCCAAATTACAGTCTTGCAGCTATTTTTAATATGCTGGTACAATACGTTATTTAGTATATTAATAGACTTAACTCCCTTTATCGTGTCATTCTGTTTCTAGGTGAAACAAAAGTGGGCCAGCCGTCTTTTGGCCAAGCTAAGAAAGGACATTAGACCTGAATGCAGAGAAGACTTTGTCCTGTCAATCACTGGGAAGAAAGCTGCATGCTGCGTCCTATCAAACCCTGACCAGAAAGGCAAAATGAGACGCATAGACTGTCTCCGACAAGCGGACAAGGTAAGCAAAACTCTAAGTAAGTAAATGATGATTTCAAAGCTTCTAACCAAAAATTATATCAAAGAGTGGATGGCTTACACACTTTTTTTGTTTTATTTCTGGAGAAGAGAGAGAGGGTTTGATTGTTCATTTTTCTCAGGCCAGATTGGGAGACAAAAAATGTAACAAACAATTTAACTTGTTTAATTGAACCCTCATTCTCCATCACACGTTGTGATGCATCTCAGACATCATGTAAAGGGTTTAGTTATGAAGGACAGAAAGACATCTGGTCTCATACTGTATCATCTGATTCATGTTTATTTTTATATTTAGGATTCTGGCTCCACAGAACTGTTGCTTGGGTCTGCTTAATTCATTCAGTGACTGTTCATGTAGCACTTCTGGAATTGTTGGTCAACATTACATGCTCATTGTGTAAAAACATGGCAAAAACTTTGAAATAGCAACATGTGCTCCGATGAGAACTCTCACACAGAAATACAAATACTCAATTCCCCCCTCTGTTGATTTGCTCCATCCCACTTAATGGAAACACATATTTATATCAGAAAAGTTGTCATGGTTAGCAGGTAGTGAAATGAGAAATGTACAATAAACCATTTGTCCATTATAGATTGGAGCACTGGTGCTGTGATGCATATATTATATATAGAGCTGTCAAACGATTAAAATATTTAATCGCGATTAATCGCATTAATGTCATAGTTAACTTGCAATTAATCGCAATTAATCGCACATTTTTATCTATTCTAAATGTCCCTTGATTTCTTTTTGTCCCATTATTTTTTCTCATTTTAATGCTCTTATCAACAGGGAAAAGTGGATCGGCTTGCTTTGTGCAAATGTTGTTTTTATTGAAAAATCATCCATTGTCGCCTGGCTTTCAGCTGCGTGCTTGGCCATCAAGTGGTATTTCAGACTGGACGTGCTGCGATGATAGCTCAGTTCACAACGACAAAACACACAGATCACTTTGGTCTTGTCAATGGAACCATTTGGCAACTTTTTAAAAGTAAACTTTCCATTCAGAATATTATTGGCATCCATTTCGGCTCGCCATCCACTCAAAATGTAACGTCTACTACTCTTAAACAAGTCTGTGCGGCGTGCCTGTTGTTTTGTTTCTGGTCTAGCTAGATCTGGTGTGGTGTTGTAGTTTTCCTAACGTTACTAGTTGTTGCAACAGCATGTGAAATAAAACTACAAAGTTAAACAAACGTTAATCTCGCGATAAAAGAATTTACACCGTTAAAATGGGTTTGCGTTAACGCCGTTAATAACGCGTTTAACTGACAGCAATAATTATATATATTATTGATATATATTGAGTTAGATTCATGTTATTTGTATTCAACAATGATGGCTTTTTGTTTTTTTTCCCAGGTGTGGAGGTTGGACCTGGTGATGGTCATCCTGTTTAAAGGTATCCCGTTGGAAAGCACAGATGGAGAGCGACTGGTGAAGGGAGGCCAGTGCTCCAATCCAGTCCTCTGTGTACAGCCTCGACATATCTCTGTCTCTGTCAAAGAGCTCGACCTCTACCTCGCTTACTATGTACAAGAAAGAGGTATGTACCAACGCACACTTTAATGTGACTCTTTCTTGTGCACCATCAGTGTGTTAACTTTCATTTGAGAGTTCAGTGACAAAATGTAAATACCAATTTACAACTTGGGATATTGCACTTTTTGGAAGACACAATTGTTGGTGGATTTTACTCTTACCATTATGCAACCTAAATTATACAAATGATAAACCCACACACACACACACACACACACACACACACACACACACACACACAGCTTGGTTTTCTCTAGAAAGGCACATCCTGAAGTGGGTGTGCAGACCTGCAATAGGAGATTAAATATACATTTTTGTCTCCTTAGTCTTTATGTTAGGCTTAGAATTTGCTTTACATTCAAAACATTGAGATCAGACATCTACATTTAAAACAATTTCCCCTTACATAATGCTAACACAATGATCAGTGAGCAGTGTTTAATATGGTGTTTTTCTGATTCACCAATTATTTTGCTAACCAACAGAGGCTGAGTAAGTTTAGGAGACAAAATGTAAAGTTTGTACGGAATCTGTCTTTATGATTATATTGATGTCGAATTGACAAGAAGACTGTTGACATGTGATGCCCTTTAACTTGTGTGAGGACATATTGAGACATTTTGTTAATAAGTAAAAATGTTTTAAGGGAGTTTGGCGTAATATTTTCAAAATGCTGTGTGTATTTTGTAACATTTTGTCAATACTACAGAAACACAAGTATGATAGTCTGACATTGACTGCTTTTAGTTGGTGGTTTGATTAATGGTTTAATAATGCATGTATTAATTACTGACAGTGGTTAATCAGGTTAATTAGATTATATTAGATTCAACTTTATTGTTTACAATTATCAGGTAATTGTACTTGTTTCTAACAGCAGTATGCAGTAAGTAGTTACCCTTTTGTCTGTTTATCACTGCTAAAAGTACAGAACACAAATAAAAACAAATTTTTTTGTAATAATAATAGTGCTATACATATATAATATAATATAATATAAAACAATATAATAAAAATAATAATAATATAAATGCAATAATATGAGCTTAGTGCTCATAGCAGCCTTTTGTAAATGCCAAAAGTTTCATTTATGATAATGTCTTTCTCATTCCAAAGCTGCCACTGTCACTGCTGCCACTCCTGGCTGCTGTTAGTTACTGGCAGCTATGGGGGCGCCCCCATCTGGTGTGACGCAGCCAGAAGAAACTGTTCACTCCTAAAGAGGTTAGCGTAGATGCTACTAGTATCAGTTATATCAGAACTGGAGAGTATTGAAAGAAGAGCTAAGAAAGGCACCAAAGGATTTTCTCCATGGAATGGAGATGTGTTTGTTGTTATTCCAACTGACTTCTGTAAGAGTTTGACTACACTATAGATGGTGATACAGAGATGGTTCATCCAATTACTTGTCGAGTATTTTTTGAAAGTGCCCGCCCTTTTTCTTTTCTTTTTCTAAACAGTTTATGTTTTGACGATCTCCCAGATGGTTCTGTGTAACAAACCATCTGGCGCAATCAGTTTAAGGGGCACAGAACTGTACTGCTGTCATTGAATTGTATTGTGTTAAGAGCACTGACATATAGTCATAATTGTGGTTAGAGTCATCATTGTCCAGTTCTCCAGATAGTTGACAGTTCTCTGAGGATGTAAGCAGAAAGCCCGCTCCCTCCACCCACAAGAGTGTGTGTGTGTGTGTGTGTGTTTTTATGAGAGAGAGAGAGAGAGAGAGAGAGAGAGAGAGAGAGAAAATTTAACACAGATACACAAATACACATTACCAGAGTTTTAGAAATATCAAGGTCCAAACACTTAACTAGGGGCATGCATCAAACCATAAAACTTTTATTGTATACCTGTCAGAAGAAATACTGAGGTCCATACCTTGGTGACCATGGGAATGACCATGTTCACCAGATGGTGGAACTCCATAAGATAATGTATTCTTCAGTCATCCACCATAGTGGTCTCTGTGGTCTACCAGGACATTGGCTATTTCTGAGTTTATTAGTGGGTTATTGTTCTTCTAAATATACAAAATCATTTATTTTTGACAGACCAAACATTTTGCTTTATATTTTGTTGTAATCCTTAATATAATTGATGAACTGAACTATGTTTTACACTTATTGACTCTTTATTTCCTTTGCATTCATGTTGAGAGTAGCAGAAGACTTGTCTCATAAATATTCAACACTGAGCTTCCACTAGATTTGTGTCCCCCAGGCATTGGTCTGCTGGCAAGGTATCCCTTATATTTCCACTTTGACACCCTATAACTGTGTGACTAAATAAATGTCTCTTTTATCTTTTAATCATCTTTATCAAATGTGGTTGTCTTTTCAACACAGATAAGCCTAGCACCTAGTATATCAAGGTACAGTAAGGAGAAAGTTGACCAAGGTTCTGATCGATGCTTGCTCAACTGTCGGAGGCTTGGAGGACAGAGCAAAAAGGGGCAGGACTTAGGAAGGGTCAATTGCTAAGTATTTGCCATCCTGAAAATGTATGTGTATGGCTGTATGGTTTCACGGCCACCATGTTTCTCCCACTTTACAACCCGTTCAATTAGATTTTTCCATTGGATTTTGGATTATTGCAAGAAAAAAGCTTATACCAAGGTCCATGACTTCAACTAGTAATTAAATCTTGTAATTAAAATCTACAAGTTTTAGTTAAAATGAACACAATGAAGTTGTAAAGGTAGACTAGTGAGACAAGTAGACAAGTCTCATAGGACTCCTGCAGTGTTGCAGTGTTGGACTGTAGAAACATGGCGGTTCAACATGGCGAACACCAAATGAAAACATACTTATAAATATTATATTTAGTTTCTGCCAATAGATCCTCCTAAATGTTACACACTGGACCTTTGACAATGCCATTTGCATTTTTTGAGAGTTTCACGGCCACTAAGTTTCTCCCACTTTACAGCCCGTTCTCTAGCCCAGGTCATCAACTGTAGATGTGAGTGGTGTTCAGTTGTGAAGATTTGGTGTCCAAATAATAAGCTCATTGACAATGAGGATGGCAACTATGTATGACACGCTGGTAACTGAGTTTTGTTAAAATTGATTAATGGATGAATAAAAGTTAAAAACAGGTCAAATATCTCTCTCCCCCCCCCAATCTCTCCCTCCCTCCCTCACTCTCCCAGAGGCAGAGCAGAGCAGCAGTCCCAGTCGTACAGGAGTGGGTTCTGATCAGGAGGACAGTCGAACCGCCACCATGGGTAATGTAAAGGATCTTCCATTAGAGAGGAATATTCTGTTTTTCAGTTTGTGTTACATAAGAAGATGCATTTTGTTACAACTTACTCTGTAGTGTAAATGCACATGCATAATCTTTGTCTTCATCAGTTTGTTCAATAATGTGTACAAATACAGTAAAGAGGCCATCAGCTCAGTTTGATGTGATGGATGATTTAGTAACCAGAAATAAATACCAAGAACCTAAGGATGTTCAGAACGTTTATAAGAGAAGAAAGATTGTGATCAAGAAAAGTGACCAGTCATCATGTAAGAAAGGATGAAAGATAAGATAAGATAGACTTTGTTTTTCTACACTGGGGAAATTCACTTGTTACAGAAGTGAAATTTTATGGCCTGTACCAGTTATCATTATCTGCTCTACCTCTTGACAGTTGTGTATCCTTTTGCACTAGAGATGATGAGTCAAGCAGTAACGCAGACACTGGACATCAGTGCCACATGCTATAACAACTGCTGCTCGGGTTTTCTGTTAGGACCACTGCAGTTATGATATAAGATAAGAGTGTGATATAAGATGACAGTGTGCTAAATTCTTTTTCATGATCATAATGTTACACAATATATATATAATGAAAAGGGGAAACAAAATAAAAGCAAGCCATTAAAAGCACCAATGAATGAACATCCGATTATACAGGATCTGTCAACATCTGAACTGACTGACATGAACTAACTGCTACTGCTCTAGAGTCACAAAAGTACTTACAAAGAAACAACATTAGTGTGTAACTGGTGCTGTGTTTTTACAGACGGCCCAGAGTTCCAGGAGAGTTTTGTGACATCAGGAGTTTTCAGTGTCACTGAGCTGGTCCAGGTCTCAAGAAGTAAGTGTACTTTACTATCAGCTTTAGCTGTTACCCAGCTTTACTACCAACATAGAGCGCTGCAGGGAAGTTTGCATCACCCTGGTTCCTTCAAGAAAAAGCCAATGAGATTTTTCCATTGGATTTTGGATTATTGCAAGAAAAAAGCTTGGTGTTGAAAAAGCTTTATGATACATGTTTTGTACAGCAAGATAATCTTCACAAATGAACACCCCTTTTATGATTTTTGAAGTATAAATGTGATCACCAGAAGTAAAAAGCTAATGTATAAACAAACTATACCAAGTTCCATGACTTCAATGTCATCACCACTAAACTTCCAACTTGTAATTAAATCTTGTAATTAAACTTTACAAGTTGTAAAGGTTTAATTAAAATGAACACAATGAGGTTCTAAAGGAGGACTAGTGAGACAAGTAGACAAGTCTCATAGGACTCCTGCAGTGTTCTATTCATTGAAACACCAAACTTTTATGAGTGAGTTACATTGAGCATGTGACATCCTTGGACAACTCAAGATGGTTGTATGATTGCAGAGGTGGTCACATGACAGCTGACAATGCACCAATGTGTATGATTTAGAGGCATCTAGCAGTGACATTGTAGATTGCAACCGACTAAAACCAAGTGCAAAGGAGAAACTACAGTGGCTGGGGCACTTGTGGTTTGTCTGGGTTACTGTAGAAACATGGCGGTTCAACATGGCGAACACCAGATGAAAACATACCTATAAATATTATATTCAGTTTCTGCCAATAGATCCTCCGAAATGTTACACACTGGACCTTTGACAATGCCTTTTGCATTTTTTGAGAGTTTCACGGCCACTAAGTTTCTCCCACTTTACAGCCCGTTCTCATGCCCAGGTCATCAACTGTAGATGTGAGTGGTGTTCAATTGTGAAGATTTGTTAGTTGCAGTCTGCAACTTCACCACCAGAAGAGGCTGATACTCAGTTTCATTGAGTAGGTTATAACCACTGTGTGCGTTCTCTTCCTGTGTGTAGCTCCTGTAGTCACAGGAGTAGGACCTAGTTTCTCTATGGGGGAGCTTCAGGGTCATCTGGCTTACGACCTCAACCAGTCTGTCAACCAGCCAGTCAGCCTCAGACGATCACTGGCCAGCACCTCATCCAGCGGGTAATCTCACACACACACACACACACACACACACACACACACACACACACACACACACACGTGCGCGCACACACACACACACACACACACACACACACACACCAATGTACATCTGGATTAACTACCATACTTTAACCTTTACCATCAAAACATCAAAAAGCCTAATCCTGGTATTAAATTTAACAATTACTGCATAACTAGTGAATGGCGTCATCAGTATGATAGACTCGCTCTCATTTTGAAGCTGTGCGTATGGGTTCTGCTGCTGTTTGATGCTGAAGTCAAAGCAAAGAATCTGACACACAGCCAGCTGTGGACAGCAGACATGAAAGTTGGTTTGTGATGTTGGCAATTTCTCTGTGTGAACACCTTTGCTTACATTCGAACTGTGGCATTTGTACTCCCTACAATTTTCATTATGGACCAATCTTTGTGCTGAAAGTGGAGAAAAGCCTGAAACAGTGGAGGAAGCTGCAGAAACTGCTCTGCTTACTGTAAAAATAACTTTACTCACAATATAATTCACCCATTACCTGTAAATTTAAGGTGTAGTACCGCCACTCTGCTCCATATCAAATTCCGCTCTGTTACATTAAAATACCAGTTTGATACCTTGCAAGAAAAAACAACAATACGACCCCAAATCACAAAGATGCCAATTCGGGCAGGACTAAAATTATCACAGGACCTCTGTGTTTGGCTAAATATTGTCTGTAGTTTTTTGAAATTGTGGAGTTTTTACCACCTAATTACAGACATGGCAGATTAGGATGGGATTAGGATCAGAGACGTCCTCCACAATTATTTCAAATCACATAATAATAATAATTAAAGCTGCAAGCAGCGTTGGGCAGGACCTCGCACTCCGCGCAATTCGGTGCGTGCCGCGTCACATGCCGCCATAACACGTGCAGACCACAACATGAACATTTTACGTAAATCAGCTCAAAATCGCCACGCAGCACTTACTTCCTGTTGCCAGTAGGTGAATATTGTCATGTAGACGTGTTCAGGGCCCGACTGTTATTAAACATGTCAAGTTTCATTGAGATTGGACCATGTACACTGAAGTTGTGAGGACTTGTTCAAGGTCGAACTGTTATAGAATATGTGAAGTTTAGTGGAGTACTATCTGTTTAATGGCCAATTGGCAGAATTTGACACATCGTCACCGGCATGCGGTTCGATGTACAGTCACAAATATCACAACTTTTGATCAGCAACATATTTTGACTGTACTGACCAATTTTAAAGTAGATCCGATGAATTCTCTAGGAGGAGTTCTTTCAAATACAACGCAAAAAAACGTTGAAAATAATTGTGAAATCGCGGAAATGTAATCAATGTTTGACTTTCGATTCAACCTGGCCAAATTTGACGGCACGCCACGGAAACACCCTTCAACGTACAGTCTCAAATAGCACAACTTTTAATTAGCACAATTTTTGGACTGTACTGACGAATTTTGAAGTAGATCCGATAAATTCCCTAGGAGGAGTTCGTTCAAATACATGGCGAAAAATTCACAGAAAATGAGCACGGAATTCAAAATGGCCAACTTTGACGGCACGCCACGGACATGCCCTTCAACGTACATGCACAAATAGCATAACTTTTAATCAGCAACATACTTTGACTGTACAGCCCAATTTTGAAGCAGATCCGATGAATTTCCCAGGAGTAGTTCGTTCCAATACAACGCGAAAAGTTCGCCGAAAGTGAAAATGACAATCAAAATGGCCGACTTCCCGTGGGGTTTGGGGTATGGGTCCAAGAGGCTTTTTTGTACGTCTCTGGCGTGTTACACGTGCCTACCGAGTTTCATACATATCGGTGAAACGTGGCGCCGGGGCTGCTTTTTTAAAATCCTGTAGGGGGCGCTACAAACACGACAAACACGATTTTTGGTATGTGAGCTACAGGCACCAGTCTACACGTGCCCTGTGAATTTCATATTCATAACTATTACGGTCTCCGCACAATGATTTGCCATGCCACCAGAGTGCCACCTAGTGGTGGATTGTTGACACATTTTTTGGCGAGCCTCAGGGAGCCATGGGCAAGCATCGTTCCCAGTTTCATTTCAATCACACCTGCTGTTGCAGAGATATAAACTTCTTCATTTTAAAGAGCGCCACCTAGTGTCAATGGCCTGAAATTGTGCACGATGCCTAAGGAAGACATGAGAAACTATGGACCCAAGCTTGGTGTTAATCAGACATACCAATGTGGAGAAATGGTCCACTTCCTTTTTTGATGAAAATTCACAGAAAGTGCTAATTTAATAACGTGCTTATTTTTTGAAATATCAAATATATTACATTTCCATTAAGGACGGTCCCCAGATGCTACGTGAAAAATTTTGTGCGAAACAGACAAAGCACATAGGAGGAACACGAAAAAGCTGTTTATTGGCATTTTGCGCTCTAGTGAAGAGCGGAAGTGGGCATGGCCTATATGGGGAGATTCAGCTCCATTCACCGAACGCGTAGATACAAGGTTTTTGTATGTGCGACAAAAGATGCGGGAGTTATTAGACCTGATGGATGGATGAATGGATGGATAGATATGATTCAGTTAAAAAAAAAAATTAACGGCAGCCTGGTTGTAGATGTAGATGTCATACAACTAATTTGTTGAGGGAGCCTATTTTTACCACCATGGCAGTAGCATACACATTTTTAATTCAGAATTTACTTACTAGGTAATAATAAGTATTAGATTAGATTACAACTGCAAAGGAGAAGTTAGAGGGAGTTAACACATTGATAACACTGATCAGGGATTTCACTTTATTTCTGTTCTTTCTAAAATTGAGTTTAGTGTTTTTATTTTTGCGTAACTTTGCAGCAGCAAAGTGCCATTGTCATTAGCTGCACAGATATGTTATATTTAGATATGTTATGAAGGGTTTAAGGTTATTAAACTTGACCTGGTGGTGAATGGGAGGAGAGCTGCAGCAGAGATGTGTCATGGTCGGAATTGTTGGGTGTCTGTAAATCATTTTAAAAAGGAGTATGGTCTAGACATGCTCTTTTTGAAGAAGACCAATAACTTGAATTGGTGTTATACAAATAAAATTGAAGTGAATTGTCAGTAATGATCAAGTGAAGCAGTGCTGTTATGATGTGAAGCAAATCCTTTTTCCATACATGTGTTGGCTTGGCTAGACTTGGTTTGACTCGGCACAAGCTACTGTAGCTCAGCTTACTGAAAAAGTTAATGCTGGTTCTGATAGAAAAGTGTCAGAACACACAGTACATCTCAGCTTTATGTGTATGGGACTGTATAACATTATGACCATCAGGGTCATCGGTGTATATTTTCCTAAGCTTTCTGCTTTCATCCCTTGTCCAATCAAGCCAGTTTTATTTATATACAGTTGCAATCAAAAATATTCAACCCCCCAAAGATTTTAAGGCTTTATCAATTAAAGTTTTTTCAAAGAGCAAGATTCTGCTTCGGACGACTTCTTTATGAGTTGAGTGATACATAAAATCAACACAGAAAATGCATGATGTAGTATTTGCTTTAAGATAGCCATGTCACAATTATTCAACCCCTATATAATTTTTAAAGCTGGCTGAGTTTTTATGGCCAAGAGTTGAACATAATTAGGCCTTTGGGAACTCTATAATGATCCTTCATTTGCTTCAGCAGTGATGCATTTATAAACCCCACCCATTAAGGTATTGAAGATGAGTTGCAATCATGGGAAAGAAGGAGCTGACACACCACACCTGAAGGGCCTTGGGTATAAGAAGACTTTCAAAAAATGTTATATTCCAAGAGTTGGCAGCTTTATAAGGAAGTTTAAAACGTATGGAACAGCTGCAAACCTGCCTGGCTGTGGAAGAAAGTCCAACATTTCATTAAGGGCCCTTAGCAACTTAGTCAGAACAACTAAGAGAAACCCCTGTGTGACTGCAAGTCACCTACAGGATGACCTGATGAAGGCTGGTACAAGTACTTTAGTGGCAACTATAAGACGTGCACTGAATAAACAAGGACTTCATGGCCGAACTCCAAACGCACTCCAATCTTGACCACAAGGAACATCAAAAGTCGACTAGAATATTCCAGGAGGAATTTGGATAAGACTAGAGAGTTTTGGGAGACAGTTCTATGGACTGATGAAACCAAACTGGAACTGTTTGGACAAATGGACCAGTGGTATGTCTGGCGTGCGAAAGGCCAGGCTTATGACCAGAAGAATACCATCCCCAAGCATGCAGGTGGGTCATTGATGAAGAGGGGCTATTTTTCTGCGGCAGGAACTGGCAATCTTTATCATGTACCTTGCATCATGGATTCCCAGAAATACCAGGCCATTTTAAAGAGGAACGTGATGCCTTCTGTTGACAAATTAAACCATGGTGATCATTGAACTCTGGGCCACTGCAGCAAGGACTCAGCCTAGGTACATGGGTCGCCAGCTCTACCCACTGAGCTAACCGCCCCCTCAAGCACACCTCTTAAACGACAAATTAAAAATATTCAGTATTGTAGGTCCCAGAAATCTTTAAAAAGTTTAGCTGACAGAGGGTGAAGAGGCCGATGGTTAGTTTAAAAGTTTGACTGCACCAGATGGTTTGTTACACAGAACCCTGTGGGTCGTTGTTGGAAACTGTTTTCAAAAAATGCTCAACAGTTGATTGGATGAACCATCTGTCTCTTACTGTCTATCACAGGCAAACTTCGACCAGTCAGATCAACAAACCATATAAAGTAGTCAAACTCTTACTGAAGCCAGTCGGGAGAAGAGTGAAAACCTCTTTTCCATGGAGGAAAGCATTCAGCCCCGTTCTTTGCTCTTCTTTCAATAACGAAACACAGTTCGGATATAACTGATGTTAGCAGCATCTATGCTAATCTCTTTAGCAGTCGCCATAGTTTTTTTTTGAGTGTTCTCACACATCATTGCAGACATCTAGCATTACACCACACCCGTAGCTCATGCATTAGCTGACAGTAGCTCCTTGTAGGACGAGTCCACCTGGCTCGCAAGGTTACAAGCTAACCCCAGCTTTGACAACGTTTGAAGAGAGATAGTCTCATCTATTTTTCTGTAGAAAAATTGTGAGCCATAAAGGGTGAGCAGTATGTGCTGATTTTTGTGTGTAGAAACGGAATTTGAATCATTTAGAACTGAATCTGAATTGCTCAACTTGAATAATTGCATTAAAAAACTGATTTTGAATTTGGATTGTTTAACTTGAATAACTGTATTGAAAAACTGAATCTGAATAGCATAATTTGAATTTGAATTTATTAGTTTGAAACTGAATTCCAATAAACTTGAAACTTAATATAATGTTATGAATCTGAATTCACTTGCAACTTAAACTGCATTTGAGCCTCACTAAAAATTCTACTTTTTTTCTCTCAATTCAATTTCCATCCACAAGATGGTACATGAACCTGTACTTGTATACTGCCTTTCTAGTCTTTCGACCACTCAAAGCACTTTTTTACACTACGTGCCACATTCACTCAGTGATGACAAAGTCCATCCATTCATACACATTCACACACCGATGCACAGCATCAGGAGCAATTTGGGGTTGAGTATCTTGCTCAAGGATACTTTGACATGTAGCACCAGGAGGGGATCAAACCCACAACCTTCCAATTAAGGAACGACCTGCTCTGCCTCTGAGCCACAGCCACTTTCAGATTCACTTTTAAGGTCACAGACAGGTCAAGGTCCTTGAGGAAGAAGCAATCGAGTGCAGGGTAAGCCTGCATTCTTTCCAACAGCCAGCAGAGGGCGACTTCACTGGATAAAGAAGCCCAGTTCCATCAGAAATAATGGCAAAATAAGTTTATCTCATTAAAATTTTTCTTATGAGTTTTTGATCTTAATCGTCAGTTTCAAGTCCTTTTCAACACAGCATGATGTTAATTTAAAGGTGTAACTTCTGATCCTATTTAGAGGAAAATAGACGATAAAGCAGGGTATGCTTTAGGGCGGGGCTACCTTGTAATTGACAAGTCTGTGGCGACCTGTCAGTCAAGCTAGAGTGACTCTATCAACTTCACTGTAAATTTGAGCCCCAACATAGAAAAAACTTATTAGGAGTCAGCTGTTAATTTTTTCCTCCATGATCGAAATAAACGTTCTTCACATCAATCAATCACTACAAGCTAATGTAACATCTTCTTTCTTCTCCGGCCGACTCGGCACTGTTCAGTGCGTTGCTGCCCCTCACTGGTGTCTAACATTACATCTCTGCTACAGGTCCAGGAAATGGTCAAAAACAAACGTGCTGCTTGGCCAAAAAGGAGCTCTGTGCATCTGCACTTGATTGCTCTTACTGAATGACCTTGACCCGTCTGTGACCATAAAAGTGAATCTTGTGGATTGAAATTGAATTGAGAGAACCGAATTTGAATTGAGAGAACTGAAAGTGAAAGTACATAAATAGTTGAATTTTTAGTGAGGCTCAAATACAGTTTCAGTTGAAAGTGAATCCAGATTCATAATATTATATTCAGATTCAAGTTTATTGGAATTCAGTTTCAAACTAATAAATTCAAATTCAAATTATGCTATTCAGATTCAGTTTTTCAATACAGTTATTCAAGTTAAACAATACAAATTCAAATTATGCTATTGTTGGGTCTGGGTCAGAATGAGTTCTCTTTTTGATCAGAAGATTGTGTCCAACATACGATTTTCTAAGTCCAAATTAGTCTAAAAGTTATTCTCCTTCTGGTGGAAAAATAACAATCAGGATTCATCAAAGTTGGCAGTAGAATAGAGCTTTATTATCTTGACAGACAAACAAAGCCCGAGCCATCCATGGAAAGACTGAATTCATCCTCACAAAGCTTCTTCTTTTATACTTTTGCCCTCCTGTCACAAGTCCTGCCCATCTTCTACCTTTTCCATCCACGACATAATGGTGTATATCTACTTTGAAAAGACCCTAAATCTCCACCAGTACGTGGGTCCCAATTATTTTGCCCTTGTTGGGCCCATGCGCCATCCTAGTGGTTGTCTTATCATCCCAATTATCCTGCCTTTGTTTTGCTCACGCTCCATCCTACTGGTGTCTTACTTGCCTGCCCCGTCAGGCCTATGTTCTTATCACTGAACCCACATTTTCTTTTGGCTCTCCTTTCATCATGATTACACCATTAGAATCTAGTTTGCTGTACTTCTATTTTTTAAAAACCATTTAGTACCTTTTCCTTACACCATTATGTCACAGATGTGTTTTACTGTATTTTTTAAAAAACTTTATAAACTTTATAATATCATAAGAAACTTGTGTTACAACCACACACATACATTTGGTATAATCAGTGCTCATTTCTAGATATGATAAGAAAAACTTGTGTTACAACCACACATTCTATATGTTCCACACATTAAAACAAACCTTTACTAAATAACCATGGTGCTTACTACTGATAAGAAAACTTGTATTTGTGCTTTTCATGAAATCATATAAACTTAAAACACATGCCTTCATTAACATCCTTGTGAGCTTATATAAATCTATTCTACTTAACACTCAAAATCATCATTACTTAAAACATAGTGCTCTCTACTTGATTTCCAGTTATCTGTGTGAACAAACAACAGTGCATAAGAAAACTTAAAACTTTTGTGTGATTATTGTGTGATTAATTGATTACTAACTTGTAATATGCACTTACCTACTTATAATATGCACTAACCTACACTAAATTTTATACTACATATCCCCCCTTTGTGACATTGTAACACAAGGTCACAACGCACAAAAGGTTACCTTATGCGAGAGCTACTAATCATGTCATATTAAAGACAACATGGAGCCATCCCATAGAGGTATACACATCATTGATGTGTGGGTTATTATACATACAGACCACATTAGCTTATCACTATCCATTAATACACCTCAATCAGCAGTTTCTTCAGTTTTATCTCAAAATTATGCCCAAGTTAAATTTCAGTAGTGATATTCATCCCTTGAGTAGATATCATTTAATCATCAGTAGTGTGTTATACAGTAATTCATTGCTATTTGAGTAACCTTTAATCCATCATCAGTAGTATACTTATCAGTGCTACCTCTGTGTTATATGGCATATCACATTTTAGACAGGATCGTTGTCTGTGGCTCTCATGTACATCTGCACCAGCTTTTCAATCATCCGAGACTTATGTGCAACCAGTTCTTTCTGTTGAGCAAGTTCATTTTTCAGCTTATGATTTTCCCAAGCCAAACTACTCAACTTTTCCTTCTTACGTTCCCGGAAACGCTTTGAAACACGGCTTTTCATCTCTCTTCGTCTCATGTCGGTTACCCTCTCCCTGGTCCAGGGGTAACGTTGCACATATGCCTGAAACTCGCACATGTCCATGTCAGCCAATTTTGCTCCGGTGATCTGGTCAGGGGTTGGGTGTTCTTTTTCCTCCACTGATGAACTCTCCGTAGTGTCCTCATCATCTGAAATCGGGGCTATTTCATATGGGATTTTAGTGCCAAAATCTGGCTTTGTATACCTTGGCTTGAGGTATGATGGACCGGGGGTTTGCTGAGGGTTTTCACTCCCCAGTGCAGTTGTGCTTGAGCTTGGCACCTCTGCTTGAGGTCCAAACACTAATGGCGGTGTTGGTGTGTGCCGTGGCGTGGTGGGAGTGTAGTCTGTCTCCGTGGGCGAGAGTATTATGCTGACTTGGTAGTCGCGTGGTGGTGGTAGTGGGCTTAAAGCTGATCCAGGTCTGACCATTCTCCTCTGGCTGGGTAGTGGCGGTCCTGCACCTCCTGGTGGATTCACCTCTGGTGGATATCTGCTTGGTCCCGCCAGTGGCTGGTGGTACTGCTGGTCTGCTTGTGGTAACAGCCCCATCCCTCCAGTGCCATCAGGAGCTTGCCATGGGTGACCATAGGATCCCTGTTGGCGTGCTTGGTCATATAGGTTCCACAACCGCCAGCTCTCTGGATAATCAGCCATTGTGGTCTGATGGGACAAGGCACACTATGAGTTTATCTCCAAAACCCCACCCATACATCTTTACCCAAGGCATAATCCCTACAATATCCTGTCCTACCTCCTCCTTCCATTTTCCATAATTGATCTTTATGTTGGCTGTAACATGTCTCATACCATTCTGATTTTTCTCTAATTACCTCTTTACCCCGACTGTGCAGTGCTTCATGAGTGCTAAACAAAACATCTGTCCCTAAACATACTGTGATTATCTGTATCTGTGCTTTAGTATATACTGGCATGCATACTCCTACATCTGTATTTACCAGGTCATAAGAGTAAGTCATAGATACGTTGCTGGTGTGCACGATCAGTCCTCCAGGCAAATTATATATGTGTTTTTCCCAATTGGTGCTGTGCATAGAGTGCAAGCGAATACTCGCATTTCGTGGCAGTGGATAGCCCTCTGATTGCAATGAATGGCTTTTATCTCGACATTGCAGATAAGTTCTAGAACTTTGGATTGATATGGGTCCGTATGGCAATAGATTTAGCACAACTTGTAAGGCCTCATTGTGTCTTCCCTTTTTAGTTGATTTTCTTCCCCTGTTTTTCCCTTTTCGTGCTTGATTACTTGTTGGTTCTGTCATTATGGTATTTGTCCAGTGTCACAGTGTCAGAATTTGTCATGTCAACATACTGATCCTCTGACATTTCTCTGCCTGCTTCATCTTGGTCACCTGCTTCTAAAATGAAAAGGGGAAATTGTCCTGTAATTACTTTAGCTGTTTTGCTCATCATTATTTTGACAATTGGTAATATACAACATGAAACTACTACTGCAACCAATATTAACCCTCCAAGGACCATGCCTATTGTCAACAGTATTTTCTTCCAAGACGTGCGATTCATCCAATTCCAGACCTTCGTTAACCACTCTAGCCGAGTGTTCCAATTGGAATTCGCTACGTGTTCGTTTCTGAGGTCTTTCATTGTCTTCAGTATTTTTGTGAGATTTCCATCACTACCTGTAATCATTGGAATGACAGTGCAACATTCTTCTCCAATCATTTCACACACACCTTGATCTTCTGCTAGCAACGTGTCGATTGCAAACCTATTTTGCAGAGCCATGAGGGAAGTGGCATGTAACTGCTCTCTAATTCCCTCAAATGCATCTATAGTCCAATTAATGAACCTCTGCTGATTCAATTTCAATTCAATTCAATTCAATTTTATTTGTATAGCGCAAATTCATAACAGAAGTTATCTCAGGACACTTTTCAAATAGAGCAGGTCTAGACCGAACTCTTTAACATTAATTACAGAGACCCAACAGTACCACCATGAGCAAGCACTTGGCGACAAGGGCAAGGAAAAACTGCCTGTTAAAAGGCAGAAACCTAGGACAGATCCTCCGGCTCTAGGTGGGTGGTCGTCTGTCTCGACCAGTTGGAGTGAGAGAGAGAGAGAGGCAGAGAGAGAGAGAGCGAGAGACAGACAGACAGACAGGTGCATAGCAACAACAGTATTGGCAACGGCAATCTAGCAGGACCATGGCAGGAGGCTCCACCAGGATCGACAAGAACCTGCGAGACGAGAAAGCACAAGAACTCCGGGGAAGAAGTGAAGTTAGTAACATGCATAAATGGAACATGAATGAGTGCAGAAAGAGAGAGGAAGGGAGGAGCTCAGTGCACCATGGGAAATCCCCCGATAGTCTAGGCCTATAGCAGCATAACTAAGGGATGGTTCAGGACTCACCTGATCCAGCCCTAACTATAAGCTTTATCAAAGAGGAATGTCTTAAGCCTACTCTTGAATGTGGTGAGGGTGTCTGCCTCCCGAACCACAACTGGAAGCTGGTTCCACAAGAGAGGAGCTTGGTAACTGAAGGCTCTGGCTCCTGTTCTACTTTTAGAGACTATAGGAACCACAAGTAGCCCAGCATTCAGAGAACTAGAGTCTAGTTACCCCTCTAGTGTTCTAGAGGGGTAATAGGGTACTATGAGCTCTTTAAGATATGAAGGGGCCTGACCATGAAGAGCTTTATAGGTGAGCAGGAGGATTTTAAATTCAATTCTACATTTTACAGGGAGCCAATGCAGAGAAGCTAGTACAGGAGAGATGTGATCTCTTTTTCTAGTTCCTGTCAGTACTCGTGCTGCAGCGTTCTGAATTAATTGGAGTGTTTTAATGGACTTATTGGGGCAACCTGATAATAAAGAGTTGCAGTAATCCAGCCTTGAAGTAACAAATGCATGGATTAGTTTTTCTGCATCTGTCTGTGGATAGGATGTGTCTAATTTTTCTAATATTACGTAAATGAAAGAAGGCGGTCCTAGAGGTCTGCTTTATGTGGAAGTTAAATGACAAATCCTGATCAAAGATAACTCCAAGATTCCTGACAGTGGTGCTAGAGGCCAAGTTAATGCCATCTAGAGTAACTATATCTTTAGACAGTGAGTCTCTAAGGTTTTTGGGGCCAAGAACAAGAATTTCGTTTTTTTCTGAGTTTAACATCAGAAAATTGCAGGTCATCCAGGATTTTATGTCCGTAAGACATGTTTGTAATTTAGATAATTGATTAATTTCATTGGGATTGAACCACAAGTAATTAATCCACCTGCTGTTTCGCGCTATGTATTGTGCATTCATTACTGGACCTATCAATGGGGCTCCTCCAAATGCTTGGCCTGATATGATCCATGCTTCACTTATGGCTTGGTACTCATCTGGAATACCCTGTGGTTCTTGGTTCCATGCAATATACACCTTATCTACCTCATGCAACTGCGGCACTAAGCTTCTACGGCTTCGTTTTTGGTTTTGAGTATTGTTTCTCTTAAATAGGGCTTCCTCGTAGACAGATATGGATCCAGTCAATTTGACTGGGGCACAAATTCCTGTCCAGTTAGCTGGCAATGCTGCCCTTAGTTGTTTGTCACTATCACATATCCAAAATATGTCAGCTAATGATTGTGTACCATTCTCCATTGATGCTACTGTGAAGTTCATGTATTTAGTTCTTCGTTTTACCTTTAATATGCCCTCTCCATTACCTGCTATCACCTGTCTACATCGAAGGACTGCCTTCTGGGTGGTTCTGCACAAACCTATTGTCTGATTTGTGTAGATTGTATTATTGTCACAACCCTCATTCAGATTGCACAATGTTAGATTTGTGTCCTATGGCATCGCAGTTGGGTGTTATTAGCATCGGTTCCATCTAATACTTTCTCTAGATGTTCTCCCCGAGCTACGCAAAATGGATAAGTTGTGTTTACTGGTATTTCCACCTGGGGTGGAAGCCATATGTCAAGACCTTGTGCCATGACAGGACAAAATTCTGGGTGTTTGTTTGTCGCATTCAACCATCTACTGTTTGATTCCCCTGCATAATCTAATAAACAAAAGGGCAAACATAGGCCTCGCTC